TAAATAAGGTATCAGAATGTAGGAAAGAGTTACACTCCAACAGGGTCAAGTTAAACCTGTGATATTCTTTCAAGTTGTTGACAAAAAATGTAAAAACTCGTGTCGGTAACGGAGGGAATGAAATATGCAGCACTTTTTGGGCAATAAATCCAAACAGTGATAACTCTTGGTTCTCACTTCCATATCCTTAACAAACTGGTTTGAATATTTGCTTCATATAGTTTTCTACCATATGGTACAAGATTAGGTTGAAAAACCTCTGACTTTTTGAGTCATGAGATTTTTTATTAAGAAAGGTCATGGTAACGGAGGGAAAAGTAACATTAACCCATTGACGCCGGATGCTGCGCAGCGCTGAGTCCCCTGTCCAGATTGTCTGGTGATCAGCGTAACTGGTAAAGGCGGGGCCACACCTGGAAGCATGGGGGGGCGTGTCCTCCTCTCGCTTCCATTCACTCCCATAGAGAGACGCAAAACTGCCGGAGCTGTACTGTCGCGTTAAACCTTCTTTATCGTGCCGTATTATTTCTCCATTGAAAAATAATCCAAATGTATCCCGCACATGTTCCCATCAAGACCTGGTTTGAAGTAACAAACGTTGCTCTTTACTGCAGCGCATGAACGCACTCAAACACTTGATCTGTTCGCTGTTCCAGACGCTCCTATAACAGGTGCCATATCACTATGTCGTGTAACAAATAAACATGGTCAAACACAAATGTTGTCCGTGTCTTCACTGTCATTGTCACTGTCAGCATTTTTGTGTTTGACCATGTTTATTTGTTACACGACATAGTGATATGGCCCCTGTTACAGGAGCGTCACTCTTTTTTATTATTAGTAGTATTATTAACACTACTGTATGTGTAATATAATGTAATGCAATCCCACATGTTTAACACACAATCCCTGCATATTTAGACTGAGTTCTTCTCCACACACCTTCACTTGAATCATTTGGATGATTTCAGCCCTGAAAATGCCAATTTCTAATGAACTAAACCAGACACATCAAACTCAGGCCCAGGGGCCAAATTTGACCTGTGATATAATTATATTTGGCCAGCGAGATCATATCAAATCTGTATTAGCGCTGCCCGCCGGCTACAGATAAACTATAGAGACAATATTTATTTAAGATTGTGTTATTATTTTATACTATGTTCTGGATTCAGTGTTTAAGCAAAACTATGATTAAACATGTATTTTAATAAGAAAAGGTTTAACATTACATATCTCGGAAGAAGAGAAAACTCGCAGATGTTGTTGAAATTTTTCAGTAAATATTTAGTTTGGCTCACAACTTGGTCCCAGTTTATAATTTTGGCCCTCCGTAAATTTGAGTTTGACACCTCTGAACTAAACCATTGCTTCCCAAAGACTGGGTTGCGGTCCTCAGGTGGGTCACAAGAGATTGTCCAATGAGATTCACTTGGTCTTCTGATATTTTATGTCATTAGGTTCTTTTTTCATACCTGATAGTTTGGACTGCTCACTAGCGTCTTCCTCAGAGTGGTCACGTGATGTTGCTGTGTCCGGTCAGCTGATTTAAACAGGTTTTGGCGCTGTCTTCCTACCGGTGGAGGCAGGATGACAGCGCCATCTGCAGTCCAACTTCCTCAGGACAGTATCCCGGGTGTGTTGAGAGATTTATTTTATTTTTTTTTTTTGGATTGCCTCATCACGATCTGTATGTAGGTTTGCAATATTCATATACATATATCTCCACGCACCCCTCTCCCCGGCTCTTCACTTTTTCATCAGCACCGCCTTGCCTAACCAGTTTTCTGTGGGAAACACTGATTACTGTTTTTTATTGTTTCAAACATGAGTAATACTAATTGTTCAGAGAGACACAATCGCACAGTCAACAACAGAATATCCTCATTAATATTCAATAATAGTCATAAATATATTTTGTGATTTGCGAATAATGTCTATTGACTTTGGTCACGACGATTTGTGACTTTTAACCCTCTCAGGCTTAAATTACATTTTTTTTGAGAGAGACCTTGACATCAAATGTGTTCTGGGATGTTATTGCTCCGGTGTGGTAAATTAACACTGAAGACTGAAAATGATATGAACGCTAACTTTATTTGTATACCACTTTTCATAAGAATGAAAACAAAAAGCACAGTGTAACAGCTTTACAGTGGCAGAACAACTTGGTATAGATCTCTTTTTCGTGTGGTGCTCCAAGAAACAATTTTTATCCTTTGTAAAGCACAAAAGTACTCAGCACTTGTGGCAGGCCGTTTGCGTGTAGCCATTCTTACACAGTCTGCATCGTCCATGTTTATCAGCATGGATGGGAAAAAAGGATCCTGAGTAAAAAAGGCTCATAAAATATGGATGTGGAGTAAGTAGGTAATTGGAATTTAGCTGTTGCAAATCTGCAACGCCTGCCTGGAGAGGGTTAAAATATGGGTCCCCGGGAAAAAAGCCTGGAAAAACACTAAACTAAACTACCGCTTCATGACATCAAAAGGTGCAACAGAGCATGTTAAGCTTTAGAGAGAGAGACTAATAACAAAGGATTCCATGTGAATGGAACAAAACACAACTCAAGGTCTGTTTTTGAGGAGGTAACAACATTCTAACATGACTTAAAGCTCACAAGAGTCAGTTTTGCGTAATATCAAACTTCAACAAGAGACGGCAGCTTCAGTGGCTATGAAAGAAACCGACACAGCACCGCCTCGTCAGTGCTCGCTCTGGACTAATCTCTGAATCTACTTGAATGACAACGGCGGCTCTCTTGCTGCGTGAAGTGCCTCTTAGCAAGACACTTCACCCACCTTTCATCCGATGTCCATGCACGCTGCTGTATGAAGGAGTGCACGTCTGTTTGAGCGAATCAAGGACAACAGACGGAAATATCATCTGTATAATATATTTTCCTTTTAGCAGACAACTCTCAAAGTCATTAATTGTAACTGCTCCTGACAGGTTGTCCCAGTGGCATTGAAGGATCGGTCAAACGCAAAGGACAATTTTCCCTATGGGGACAATAAACCGTACAGTTTAGTTTTTTTTATTTAAACACGCATACATAGATTTTTCAGAGGATGAGTCAATGTCAATGTGTCCATGTGTTGGATTTTCTGTCCTTGGTTTTGCAAATTTGATCTACACTGTTAAATCATGTAAAAATAATCAAAAGTGAATTGTAATATTCATATTTCTTTAGTAATGTGGGTGTAATTTGTGACATTTTTAAAAAATGTTTTCTTTTCTTCATGATGTTTCTAGTGTTGTGATTTTTGCTTTCTGAGTTTTTTGATCATTAACAAACTTTAAAGCCTCATCGCGTAACTTTTCAGCCAAATAATAGACTAAAATAAAAGCAGGGATGTTTTTATGTACAAAAATTAGTCCCATTTTAGACAGGACAGAGGATGAAGGACAACATTTTCATGCACAGACACAACAAATAAAATCATCTCTAACCACTACACTAACCATAGATAAATAAATTAAGCTAAAAAAATATTAAAATACAAAATACACAACAGACAAATAGATAATAGGCAATAAAATAAAATTAGGCAATAGACAAATAGTGAAATAAAAACAGCAAGGTCATGTGGAGGGTTAATACGAACAGAGCAAAATAAAATAACAAGGTTTCACAGCAGCAGTTACAGAGAGAAGGTGACAATATTTCAGTGTTTCAGAGCCAGAAGCGCCCCCATGTTCACTTAACTACAGTATGTCCATTTATATATACAGTCTATGGCCTCTCCAGGTTTTGAAATGGGCCTTTTTCACAACGGTTAAAGGTGCCCAGCTGTAGATTTGTGGAACTTCTGGTTAATGGTTTTCTATGGCCAAATATCTGAGGAAATGTCACACTTATTCTCCATCAGCTTCATAAATCTGCCTACCCAACACCAGTAGTTCACTAATGCGTTGTCACTGTTCACCTTCAAGCTTTCGTCTTTCTTACCTTGATAGTTGTGGATAAATTCTTATGGAAGAATGTTTATCCTTTGTGGAACTTGTTGGTTGAAGATTTGGAGATGGGGCAGATTTATGAAGCTAGTGGAGGATACGCCAGACATTTACACACACATTTTGTCACACACATTTTGTCACACACATTGTCATCAATCTGTGTATCATTTGTTCATTTGTTTTTCAATATAAAACCAAAACTAAGAAAATGAAAAAAAAAAAAAACTGTTTTCTTCATTATTTGTCTCCAAAAGCAAAATTAAAAAACAGATAACGATCTTTTTTTTTTTTCAGCTTTTGATTTTGTGTTTAAATGAATAATGGGGGAAAAAAAACAAAAAAAACATCTGTTTCTTGTTTCTGTGACTTAAACTTCGATGCCAGACTTTTGTGCTACATACGGACTGAACCAGGACTGAACCATTTTCAGTCCTGGTCTGGTCTCAGTCTCAGTCTCAGTCCCGGTCTGATCCCGGTCTGGTCTCAGTCTCAGTCCTGGTCTCAGTCCAGGTCTGGTCCTGGCCTCAGTCTCAGTCCCTGTCCAGGTCTGGTCCTGGCCTCATTCTCAGTCCCTGTCCCGGTCCCTGTCTCAATCATGGCCTAATCCTGGTCTGGTCCCAGCCTCGGTCCCAGTCTAGTCCCAGTCTCAGTCCCGGTCTCAGTCCTGGTCCTGTTTACGGTCTCAGTCCTGGTCTCAGTTCTGGTATGGTCCCAGTCTCAGGCCCGGTCTCAGTCCCGGTCTGGTTCAGTCCGTATGCGGCGCAAAAGTCCGGCATCGCAGTTTAAGTCATGTTTTTTTCCATTATTCATTTAAACACAAACTTGATAACTTAAACTTTTTATTTTTTTTATTTTGGTTTTGGAGACAAACAATTAAGATTGAAACCATTAACCGAAAGTTCTGCAAACCTACAGAGGGGCACTTCCGGCGGTTGTGAAAAAGTTCTCCAGGACCCTAAGACTTTGATGTGGCACTATGAACTATGGGAGTTGTAGTCACGCCTCTTCTAACCCAGTCTTGTGTCTCTCTCTTTCCTTAGACCCGCCCACAGTGGAGCCGGTGTTCACGGAGATGCGTCAGGGTTTGGGGCGTCCCGTTGTGATGACGTGCCGGGTCCTTCGCGCTCACCCCTCCCGCGTGCTCAGGTTCGAGTGGCTCTTGTCCAATCGGCTCCTCCACGCCGGAGCTTTCGACGCTCACAAGGACGAGACGGAGTACACCATCCGCAATCTGAACCGCGACGGGTGGGGAGAGTACACCTGTAATGTCATCAACGAGGCAGGAGCGGGCAGGTGCACCTTCCAAGTGACAGGTAAGAGACAGTCTGGGATTTTGCTACTGCTGTGTGTATATGGTGTTTGAATAACATTATGCAGTGTTTCTAGTCTTTTTTGGCAACTTTAGTGCAATTTCAAGTAGTTGGTGACATCACAACAAACTGCCATGATTACAGACGGGTGTTTTTGATTACAAACAAACTCTGCAGGGGCGGAGTTTGAAGTGTGGATACCTGTTAGACCAATCACACTGTTCCTTATACCTCCAGACCTCGCCCCTTCTCCCGTCTCACTCCATCCTTTAATCCGTCAGGTACTGCCCAGTTTAGCGGCTCTATTTGAATTGTGTTTGTGGGCGAAGTTTAGGTGTTAAGTCCAATTTTAAAGAAGAAATATTACACTAAATCCACTTTGTAGGTGTTTATTTTGTTGCAGTTGTTTTCCTTTCTCATTATTTTTACTCAGATGTGTATTTAGAGCAATATTTGTTGGATTAATCCTCTTTTTATTGTCCTGTTTTTGAGTCTTGACGCTCAAAAAATGCTGATTATCACCTACCCCCTATCTCTGCCCACTGCTATGAATTTGGTATTTTTATGAGTTTAAAGGTGCACTGTGTAACATTTGTAGTAAAGGCTCCACTACCTGGACAGATTGCCTTGTTTAGAATGTTCCACAGTATAGATTAAACCTGTCAGTCACAAGGAAGACAAACAGGTTACAGCCTTATGCTACAATACAGTTCAGATCTGTGGAGAGGCGCCCCATTCACAGAAGGAATGATTGTATTTTTGAGCAATAGAAACACCTGTAACGAATAAATGTTTCATGGATATGTTTAATGTTATACCATGGAACATTCCAGGCAAAGTAATAACATCTCCGTGGACACAAGCAGGTAGCTGTGTCCACCACAGAAGTCTGATAATGTTGGTCTGTGGAACATAAATGGGCATTTCTTCCCTAAATGGGTTTTTAGCTTATGTTCCCTTCCAAAAAAAAACAAAAAAAAAAACAACTAAAACTAAAATAAACAAACTACATTTTATTGCCTACTTCTTTCAGTACTTTCAACACAGTAGTAGGTCTACTGCTGTAAGTACAATCATTTGGATACAAAAAACCTGCATTCATGACAAATACTTGTGTTAACACTGTACTTGGGTTAGGTCCTTAAGTATAATTTATTTAGGGGTGGGGTTAGTTAAAGGGGTGGGGTTAAATAAGTATTTACTTCCTCCCACTCCTTTTTCGGACACATTCAAATTCTGCGTAACATTTATTTTGCCTGTTATTATAGAATAGAAATAGTTACTTTTTGTGTTATATCTATGTATTTACGTTTTTGTCTTTTTTTTTATTATTTAGTTTTTTGTTTTTGTTTTTTAATTTATGTTCTATGTATTACTGTCCGAAATAAATAAACATAAACAAATATTTGTACAGGTGGAGCAGCTCCAGCGTCATGTTAAATGCACATAAACAGAATGATGTTAGAGTGTGAGATCCTCTCTGGTACAAACGCTGACAATGAAAGCAATCAAGTTAACAAGTTAGTAAACAATACCACGACATTAACCTTGACATTAGCTATTGATAGGCCGCATAGCCGTAGTTCTCCAGCTAGGGGTTTATGTTCATGTACTTAGCAGACACTTTTACCCAAAGCGTTTCCAAAATGTTTCCCAAAAGCATAGTTACTGACCTGTTATAGGCTACGTTCAGACTGCAGCCTGAAGTGAACCAAATTAGATTTTTTTGGCCCCTATGTGACCTGTATCTGATCTTTTAATGACAGTCTGAATGACACAGATCTGATTTTTTCAAATGTGACCCAGGACACTTGGATATGTGCTCCTGAAACTGATACATATCTGATCTTTTGACATGCGACTTCAGTGTGAACGGTCAAAGCACATTCATTCGACCTACACGTTATCAACAAGCCACAAACGTCACTATTCTGCACTGAAGTAGGTGAAAATTGTTAATGAACTCCATGTTAATGAACTCCATGTCACTGAAGTGAAGCACATCACCACTCACCACTCTGGGCTACGTCTCCACATCCACATGTTCCTTTCAACGGACTTTTCTGCCACTGCCCCACAAAACACCACGGCCAAAAACCTCGTCCTTCTCTTTCTCAATCTCCTCTTTAAAACAAGTACAAGTTCATGTTCTGGCTCTGGTACGAGAGGAACTTTAAAATCTCCAGGTGCTCAATGCTCGCATCCATGTTTGGACAACTTCTGTAAACACAGAGCACGCTCACTGCGGTTGACGTCATCGTGTCTCCAGTGTCACATGCGGGACACTCTTGGGCCGTTTAATGTTCACACTGGAGACACATACAAGTCGCATTTAATTGGAAATGTGAACGACCTCGCAAAAACATCGGATTTCACAAAAAAAATCCGAATTGAGCGTTAAACCCTGCAGTCTGAACGTAGCAATAGTAACTTTGTAGTGTTGCCGCTTTGCTTCGACCATACAGCATAGAAGAAGCAAAGAAGCGAAAGAGCGCAAAACGCT